GTTACAGTCTAGTGGCCTTTCGGCTGGTGTTGCACTCTGATGGGATATTTCTGTGTGTTTTGAGAGGGGTGATGCGGTGGGGTCTACTGTATCTTTCACAGGGTTGGGAATAATGGCTGCTTGCAATGTCCTATTACCTATTTCACAATTAGTCTTAGTGAGATAGTTGTGTGCGCGCCTTTCTATAACTGTTTTTTCCACCCCGACCTTTATATGTTTGTAGTTTCTGGCTTGCGATAGGGTGTGTTGGGAGTGAATGAATTTTCTGGTCTCTGCCGGTGTTTCGAACTGAAAACGAATAGGACAACACTTTTCATGTTGACTCTTCTTCAGCCTGTAGCACTTAGTCTTGGAGTTAGGCATTTTCGCTTCACTAAGTAAGATGCGCTGTACCTTTTTTAGTGCCTCATTGTCCGGAACGTTGTAGACAATAGCACTCAGTTTTGCGTCGAGTCGTTTTGTTACTTCTGTGGTAACAAAGTTAATGAGGTTATCTACCTTAGTTACCGATTCTGTGTCAAGCTTGTTAAGGTTTACCGTTTTCATGAGGATAGTTAGAGGTGTCAGTTCACAGACCTGCGATCTGATATCGCTGATCTGATCTGATAATTTGGATATCTCGGTATTGGTTTCGATGTTTCCAGCATTTACTGACTTACTGTTTTTTATTTCCCTTAACTCAGCCTTAAGTTCTCCTATAGACAACTTTAGAAGTTCTATTTCTGAAGATAGTACTGAAAAAGAGCTTGATGGCTGGAGTTTCTCCATAAGCACATAAGGTGAAGGGAGGAGTTCTGTATGAGCAGAGGGTACCGAATTTTTAGGAGTAGTGCTAATACTGGCTGTCAGTACAGTTTTATCCTCAGTTTCAGCTCGACGCTTACGGCATACACGTGAGTTATGTGACTCACTATAGCCGTTTGTTGGGGGTGTGTTGCTTGATGTAGCAATCAAGGACGTTAAATTAGACACCAGTTTTACAGGGGATTGGGTTCGTTGCTTTTTACTTTGATTAACCATAACTATTAGAAATGAGAGTTAGTGGTTACAAGTATGGAAGTGGTATAGTACTTGTGCAAGTACTACAACAAGATAAATTTTATGTAACGAATCACGTAAAAATGTAACGCAAACGTTCAACGTACCGCGACGTCCTACACCTTCCAGTCAAAGGCATCCTCTTTGACATCTTGCAACACAATCGCCACTTACTAGAATAACTCTTTCCGGAAGGTCCAGAGTGGTAAGCGCTGGGCATTTACTGTTCCTGAATTTTGTCTGACACTCTTGAAAGATATATTCTGGAAATAATATTTAAAGTATTATATTCTAACACTGCAGACCAGAGAGTAGTGGAAGATTTTGTGCAGAAACTTGCAGGTGGGTAATTAGTCCTAGTAGCATACAAAGGTGCCGCCGTTAGTTGGACTTTGGGAGTGTTAGAAAGGCCACTCTGTAATAGTGATGGGTTGGTGAGGACAGTTGAGGTGAGAATAAGTTGTGGTATGTTGGTGCGTGATATTAGGAAACTGTGTCTGCTGGAAAGTGCTGAGAGTCGAGAGTCACAGGATGGACCACCTGAAGATTTTCCAACCTAGGGCGCCAACCTGAGAAGTGTTGTAGGCATACTGCTGTAAGTCCTGCAGTTCTTCAAGGGCAGTACGTTGAAGCACAGCCCATCGTAGTTGGGGTGTTATTTTGTGCATATGTTCATGTTGTATATACTGAATTGCTGTCATCTCTCATGTATCTGTTCGTGAATCTGTTTGTGTCCGGACGTCCTCCACTTGTATCATCAACCTGAGAATGAATGTGGGCCTACTGGTGTAAGTCCTACAGTTCATCAAGGGTAGTTCGTCAAGGCAGAATCCACAACATTTGATGTATTTATTGTACATATGTTTGTGTTAAATAATTGGGTGGTTTCATTTAGTTGATGGTTTATTTTTTATAGTCGCCGCATTGTGTAATCATCTTATAATGTCAGTGCAAGTACTTCTGAAGTCGTTACTGCTCTTCTAAACTTGTGAACAAATCGAGTAGTGTTAGAGTCAGTGTATGCCATTTGTTACGCCGGATAGGGGGAATTGTGCCAGAGCGTTATGAAGCAACCAACCTCCCGTGGACCAGATTAGTAGTGGTACTGTCGACAGAGAGCGAAGGAAATTTCTGATCACTGAGGAAGATCCCACATGCCGGAGAGAGAGTACTGGTGCGATGTGGTATGCTTGTTGTGTGTTGGGCTTTTTTGTCCTGCTTTTCCATTTTAGCCTAGTCCCGGTTGACCCAGGTTCACGCATCGGTAGTTCAGTTCGAGGTTATCATCGCTACGGAAAAGAGGATTGAGTTTAAGTCGAGAATCTGTCGTGGTTTTATCGGTTCGGAGCGTCTTAACCGCATCGATTTGTGTTGATCTCTTCCCCGAAAGGAGACCAATTGTCTGGTAGAGTATTGCGAGGACTCCTTCTGCTGCGGCTCGTTCTACTTCACTTACCGCAGCTTCATGACATTGTCTTTTGTTAATATTTCTGCCCATCAAACACTGTGATTTATCAAAATAAAATCTTATCCATAATAGGGTTGTACTCTACCACAGTGCCCAAGTTTTATACTCGTTTCTTTTGTCTTCCCTGGCACTCTTCTTTACTCTTTTGTTCAGCGTATTGTAGCTTGCGTTGTTTTTGTTGCTCGTCGGTGCACTGGATAATCTTTTGTTTCACCATCCTTGCCTCTTCTATTAGTTTCCAAGTCTCCGCAGTAAGCCACTGTTTGTCCTATCTCTTCTTTCTGCCTAGAACTTCCATGCAGGTTTGACTCCACACCGTTTTCAAGTTGTCCCAGTGCTTTTCGACGCCGACCTCCTCGCTGGTGTTGGTTTGTGTCTCGGCTTTGTCCCTCATGCTTGCGATGAAGATGTCCTTTGTATCCTGATCCTTCTGTTTTTGAGTATTGAACTTGGCTTGTGGTCTATCTGCAGCTCCTCCTTCTCTGAAAGCTTTTAGTTTGATTTGGATTGTCCTTTGTACGAGATAGTGGTCTGAGCCAACGTCTGCTCCTCATCTAACTTATGTGTTCAGTAGGCTGCGCCTCCACTTCCTTGAGATTGAGATGAAGTCAGTTTGGTTTTTGGTTTGCGCATCTGGTGACACCCATGCAGCTTTGTGGATATCTTTGTGTTTGCATACACTGCGACCAATCGCTAGTTCGTTGAAGGCGCAGAAGTCAGCGAAGAGTTCACCATTTTTTCATTCATTTCTCCGAGAGCTTCTCTACCCATGATGAGTTCCCTTCCTGTGTTGTCTGGTCTCAGTTTGGCGTTCATGTCTCCCATTAGTATTTTAATGTCACCAGCTTGAGTGTTGTCCATTGTCGCCTGTAGTTGTCTGTAGAATTCTTCTTTCTTTCCGAGGTCTGCGTTGTTTGTGGGTGCATCACATCGTATAATTGACACTTTCCTTACTTTGGAGTTGAATCTGGCGGTCATTATCCCGGACGAAATCGCCTCCCATTGCATCAGGGCTTTCGTTGCCGTTGGTGACATGATAGCCACGCCCTCGGTGTGCATGTCGTTATCTTCTGGGTGACCGGAGTAGATCACTGACTCACTCGTTGCCAGTTCAGTGAGTCCATTCCCCTTACTTAAGCACCACTTGCACAAAGTCAGTTTGGATTTGGGTTCGCTTGTATGAGGTCAATAATGGAGTCCTGTGAATATCCTTGTGCTTGCATATGTTGCATCCAATCACTGGTGCACTGAAGGCATAGAAGTCAAAGAAGAGCTCTCCGTTTTCATTCACCTCTCTAAGAATTTCTCTACTGATAATGAAATCTTTTTCTGTGCTTTATGGCCCCAGCATCACGTTCCTGTCTCCCATTAGGATTTTGATTTTGCTGATTGAAGCATAGTCCATTGTCGCTCGTAGGACTCTTCTTCCTGTTCTAGGTCTGCGTTGTTTGAGTACACACAGCACCGTACAACTGTTACTTTCCTTCTTTTTCAGTCCAAACTGGCGGTCATTATCCTGGGCGAGATCGCCTCCTATAGGATCAGGGCTTTTGTTGCTGTTGGTGACACCATAATAGGTACACCCTCGGTTTGCTAGTGGTTTTTTCTGAGTGACCGGAGTAGATTACTGACTCTCCCATTAAAAATTTGGTGAATCCACTCCCATTTAATCTGATTTCATATATTTCCAATGCTTCAGTACTACATCTCCTCATCTCAACTGCAATCTGGACAGCCTTGCCAGTCTCAAACATGGTGCTGGCGTTCCACATAGACTTTTTCTTTTGTCGCACGAAGACTCATCTCACTGAAGTTCCTGTATTAGTTTTGTTTACAGAGCGAGGTTGCTGGCCTTACGTCCGAGAAGGGAGTTGTTACATGGAGATGTAAGTTACAGAGGAACGACTTTTTGGGTTGCTCTTTTCGAATCAGGAAAATAAATAAAGCAATCAGAACGATGACAACAATAACCTTAGCAAAAATATCACTGTTAAATACAATTACCAAAAATGAAACGTAAACCACAGAATTACTGATTTGTGTCAACTATGGGCATGTAAATCTAATAATACATGCAAGTCTAGATATCAGTTAATGTTTAACAACAACGAAATGGAGAACATTTAGTTATGAGTATTACTAATCAACAGGATTATATCTGCAAGACCAGTGCTCGAAGGTAAACGAATTGCAATAAATTCTACAATTTCCTGTCTAGAAACAATAGAGAAACGAGAGTTTTATGTAAATTAGTAAATGTAACACACAAACCGAAAAGCGCGTCAAGGTCCTTTTAATTCAGTGATAAGGAAATATTTCACAATGACTTGTCGAATTGCATTAATTTAGTTGGTTCAGCGAAATGTTTATGATAAAAGTGAATATTTGTAAAGGAAGGGAATTCGATGCCAAATTTCGTATCAGTCAAATATATGCGAATAAAGGTTTTACTTCTGTAGGTCATCTGGCTGCGCCTAGTTAGAACATTTTAGAGATGCCAGCCAAACGGCGGTTCACCTCTCGTTTTCCCACGGTATGTTTATAATCCCTGAGTGTAGTTTACCCCAATTTAATTTATTTGTGTTAAATCACCCGAATTTTTTTCAGACAAGGATAAAGAAAATCATGCAACTAGATGAAGAAATCGGAAAACTAACTGCTACTGTACCTCCAGTTGTTTGTAAGCGTATTCGTGGTGTAGTTTATCCAGATTTTAGCACGTTCTCTTGAGTTGTTTCTTGAACAGCTGTTAAATCAAGCGTACCAGTTCACGTCAACGCGGAGTTCGAAGACAATTAGTCCTGGGATTATGTAAATTTCATAGTAGTTTAACTCAGTATTTTGCAGCAAATATGTCATTGAGAATGAACCTCGATATGCTTTCCTCCGATCCCTTGTTGCGGATGTTCCTGAATTGAAGCCTAACAGTCGAAAACCAAGCAATTCTAAAAGCAATATCGACTCGGATGCACAGTCAGAAAGCAGTGATGCCTCTTTATCAGGTGTCGATGAACCTCATCCCAGGACCTTATCTTCAAATACGAAAAAGTCAACTCGACAAAAACGTAGACAGTCACCATGCTCTCGAAACGTTAATAAGCGCATGCCTTCTTTGGATGAAAATCCAGGTTCATTAGCACAAGGTCTTGGCTCTTCAGTGGATCTAATGTCAGCAAGTAAAGCCAGTAAGGTTCGCAGAAATGGTAAAAGCGTCAGTAATTCAGAGACTAGTTCCGTTTCATTTGACAGTTCTAGTGTTCGTAATGAAGGTCTAGTCGATTGTCGATATACCGAAGCATAATATGCCTGTTAAAGGTACTTGTAATTATCACCCATTTGAAATATCTTGTTTGTTCTGTCATTGTATCAAATCCTAGAATCCTCACTGTACAGAAAAAATCCCATTGTTTAACTATTCAGAAATGTTAAATATATGTTCTTATCACAATTGTTTACCATGTATTACATGACTTGAGGTGACTGTGACGTCCCTTTATCTTTCGCAAAATGGTATGTTTCCTGAAGCACTTCTTTTGCTGTGTCAAAGCCTGAAATTTAAGGGGTACTTCATTCGACGTAATACGAATTCCTCACACAAGTGGCGTGGCAAATAAAAGTTTTCCAAAGTAAGTGTAATGCGAATGCCTTGATTTTTCTGTAACGAGAGATTAGTGTAAAGTGTATTGTATTTTAACACTAGTTTCTTAGTAACTAGGTGTTTTAACATTTAAAACTCAGTATTAAAGGTATTTATAATGCCTAAAAGAAGTCTGAGTAGTGATTTTTCCTGATAAGCGAAGATTTATATAAGTGAAACGCTACCTATAATATTCACTGACCTTGATCATAACATATCTAGTTCGAGCAGTCACATCAATCTAGAGTAGTGTGACTAAACCGAATACATTTAAGACGCGAGAAGTTTTGTGAGTTATTGATAGCTTCCGAGGGGAAAAAATAAAAGAGGCCCCAAAATGGTAGTATCTTTTTAAAGCATATTTAAATTTTAATGACTGGCCTAAGGCGATTTATTATGGTGTTCAGTCTTAGACTCTTATGTGTAAGAGCTGTTGTATCCAATAGACTTAATTCTGATTATAACAACTGCATTTTCATCGTTACCTTGTAGTTTCCACTCTGTAAGGTTGAAATTAGGTTGGTCAGTGAATTGCACAGAGATGTAGTTGGGAGCCATCTTCTGACAAAAAAGAAGGTAAATTTTGTATATGTCAGTTAAGTACTACGGTATGTGTAGTTCACAGATTTTAAATATTCAATGTCATATAGTTGCTTATGAAGATACAAGTAGAATTGACCACTATAATGTGATGTATAGTATGAACTAAGTGCTGCTTCCTCTAATGCTTGTCGTAATGTTGACGTATCAAAACATAATTACCGAATAAGGGTTAATCTCAGCATTATATCTGCACTGTTGATTGGGATTTAATTAAACTTTCTCAAAAGGAATTAATTAGAGAAATGTATAACTAATTTGTCAAAAGTGTGATAACGTTTCGCAAATTTGAATTTCAATCTAAGAGTGTCCAGAAATGCTTTTTACTTACTGGTGTCTGCTGGTTGAGTTTTCACTGTTCTACATTGAAAACTCAGTCACTCCCTGGTGTTGGTCAGTTTCAATTTATCCTTACGAACTTCTTACTTCGTATATGTCACAAAAGACATTCCTTCCTATATCCTGATGTATATCCCAGTGCAATTCGTATTAGTGTTAACAATGTCATTTTGAAAACCTTGTCGGAACTGTACTTGTGAGACATAGTCAGGGATCGGTCATCAGTTTATATAATTTTCGTCGACCAACTTTGTAGGAAAACTATAATTTTATCTTTGACTTTTGTTCACTTCAAAATGTGTTCATATTCACTTGTAAGCTATAAGTGACGCTATCAATACTGTTTTTCTGTGACATGTTTCTATATCATAGTGATAATTTGGGCGTCGTTGATCTCTCGCTACCTCAACTTTGTTTTCTTTTCAAGTATCTTTCTTACCCAAGTAAAGCGAAAAATCACTGAGTTTATGCTAATTTATTTTCTAAATAGTGATAAGTCATTGGATAAGCTACCTCTAATACCTTTGTAATTTTCGCAGTCATCAGTTATTGACTCTATTCAGTACATACTGAAATTGGTGTCAAGTATGGCTAATAACGGTACGTTCTTGATGGTGCATTTTATTGTGTGAGTATGTAAATATGACTTATCTTGTGTGTATTGTGTCTTCTTTTTATTCACGACAAGCTTTCTAAGATAACTGATGATAATAAAGCCCTTTCAGGGAATACATTGCATTTGTAAGTGTTCTGGTCGAGTTTTTGCATATCGTTCTAATTATGGAATCCTGAACGGGCATTTCTTATTTGTTTTGAAATTTGTTATTAACTGATCCATTAAAACTGATACTTTGTCACCCCACTAGGGCATTTAACACTTTCAACCATTTTATTGCATATGCTTAGGTTGAGGTGGTGTAAATTATTCCTATGGCATCATTTTAAGCGTGATATGGACATGGTAAGTGTCAAATATAGTGGAATTTTCGCTGATATCATTTAGCGGGATTTTGTCAGCGTCCTCACCTAACATAGCTGTATATCGCCTGCCTTCTGAGAATCAATTTCTAGGTCATCCAAGTGAAAGGAAATCACCTTCACTGCACATGTAAAGGAGCTAATTAGAAGTGGTAACATTCGGCGTCTGTCGTAAACACTGTCAGTTGTAAATTTTAGATAACAACTACGTAATACAGAAAGCGCTAATAGGGTAGGAACTGAAGAACAATTAAATAAGTAGGTTGCGTGACGTATCTTTGATGGGATTAAGTAGAGCTCAAATAAAATTGGAAGAAAGCCAAGCTGAGAACAGTAATAATGAGAAGTAGAAATGTAATTGGGGGGAATGAAGAGAATAATATAATTACAAAACAGAATTACCTCTCCGGTGTCAAGAAGGATTAGGTGCTTTGTAGGTCCAGTGACTGAACTAAAGCTTCATTTAGCTGTCTCTAATTTATGACTGTCGCACTGAAGAATATTAAGCGTCTTTTACTGCATGCATCAGTGGCATTTGTGTCATTATTAGATCATTATTACTTTGCTTTTGTAAAGACCAGTTATCTGAATACAGTTAACTCAATAGGGCCACCTACGTGTAGTGAGGTGATGTGAGCAATATCGGGACTAGTAGTCTGAGTCAAGTAAATTGTTGAGGCTGACCAGACGTGCTGCCGAATTGATTTGAATCGTGCTGAAAGGTAGCTAAAGACCGCCATAAGTATTTCACTGATACATGAAATTAATGAGTGAGATATAAATGTATAAGTTACATAAATGGGATCTGTAAGGCCGCCTGAATCGTTAACCAGAGGTCCTAAATACGATAACTCAAAGTCGATCGTATTAGTACAAATGCATTCGTTATCTTCTCTTTCATTAAATTTTACTCAATATGCAGCTTGGACCATTATACTGTAATGCGCGATTCAATATGAGGTTTATATTAGGAGGTGTCCGTGTTTGTCATCGTCTTATCGAAGTCCCATGAAGCTGTTCATTGTCTCACCGTTGTTTTTGTTTAGAGGTATATTGATTCACATGTTTCAGTATGAGTAATTAGTTTCCATGTTTTCTTTGTTGTACACATGGCCGTTGCGTACTTACAGTAAATATCTCTGTAATTAACGCCGTGCATTTTAGATGCATCTTAAATTTATTTTCTGCTTTTGTGTTTGGACCACAAGTTACATCTATATAATTACTAAGTAGCTAACCAAATATTCATTTAGTCGTGACAACTTTCCCTATTTCATTTGTAGTACAAACAGTGGTAAATGTGGTGACCGAAATTAAACTTTTGTGATAGTGATTCTCTTCACTTTCAGGAAAACTAACTGCTCTCCGAAGAATTCTTATTGGGTGTCAACGTGGTGAGAATCTAAAATAACTTGAGTCTAATTAACTGCTTTCAAGTTGCTTATCTGTTCTCACATTGAGTTGACTGGTAACATTAAGTCTTCAGTCCTCATCAATATTAAGGTGTATTGACAGATAGACAAGTAGTAAATTAATATTGGTAAAGTTCTGGTTGAGAGGCTCACTTTAGAGGGGATCCCATTATGGATAAAATTTTATTTTGATAAAATCCTACATTTCTAAACAGTAATATTTACTGACGACGTTTCAAACACCTGTAATGTATGCGACAACCATCGGGATACTAGGGGATTATTTCAGTTTAAAGGTCAAGGAGATAAAATGTAATAAGATGGTTCGTAGGTGCACTCCTGTAAGTCGTGGGAATTTTGAGGCTGGACTAAGGGATCAACAGGCATTGTACGGTTCAGTGTGACTGTAACAACAGAAGACAAGGGCTGGCAACATATCGTTTTATTACGTAAATCAACACGTATTTATATAAATTTCACATACATTATTATAGCCTAGTCAAGTAGACAAACGCAGTCTTCTGATTGGTTGTTTTCGAGTTCCTCGCAACGTGGAGCCATCTGTCTGCGAATCATATTTGCCCACGTTTAAGTTTGCTGTGATTGGTTGTTGAAACAGCCTTGTTCACATTTTCTCACGGCCCATATTAGTGACTTAGACATTGACGTAGATTAATGTCAACCAATCGGCTAGCAGGCTGCTCTCACCACATGACTACCTAGTTTCTCTACTCCAACTTAACCAACGATTACACTCTTGAAACAACTTTTATTGAACTGCATCATGTGCTGTGGAAGTTATCGAGAGGAAGACTACTCTACTTAGATCATGCAGACAATATTATCTTACTTAAAGTCTAAAGGAATCCCATTTAATCGGTTGAAAATGAATGTCAATAGTTCTGGTATTTACTCTGTTCTATGGAAATAAAAAGTATTTTGCGCGTTGGAGCCATCAGAATAAGCACATTGCTTGTGGACCTGAGTAGTTTTGTGAGTACTAGTGGTAATATAAATTAGGGTTTTCAGTCGTCTGTATATGTAAATTCGTGTTACATCTTCATGATAGCGTTAGTTCGATTCACATGAGATCGATGCGCACATTTCTGGTTTACATATCGGAAAATGGTCCTTACAGGCTGATGTCTGAAAATGTTATGTTCTCCATCTTTCGACTTTGGATTTTTTATGCGGTAGGGGCTTCATAAGTTATATATATATATATATATATATATTTTTTTATATATATATATATATATAACTTATGTTATTCCTGTACCACTCTGTCTTTTCTACCATTGTTGTTATACTATTGTGTGGATAATGTTTGCAACA